TTCTGCATCTTTGCAGCTGCTGCCATGAGATTGTCAATGCAGTCGTTCGAAAGAAACAGTCTGAAATGGATTTAGAAGCTGATTTTGAGCTGGAGAAGCTGAATAAGATCAAGGTAAAAGATGCCTGTGTTTCCAGCTGGCTAGGTCTGGGGTAGATGAGACTGCATTTGCTTTGTAAAAGGTAGAGAAAAATACATGTGAGGATTTCAAGAAGGAGGAAGACTCCTGCTACTCCAATGGATTACCCTGGTCCCCCAAGTTTCCTACTGACTCCACAGTCCTGGAAAGCAGATAAACCTGGATCAGGTCATGTTCAGTTTTAATATTTTCCTTACCCTGTTTCAGGGTACATATGTAAGGGCTCTCCTGTGAGATTTATTCCATATGAGTGGCAGTAGATTCACCTCTGGTTCAAAGTTTGTCAGAGCCATGTACATCCAGACTTGAGCGGTGCTTAGGAGTTCCTGGAGGTACTTGGTGCAATATACCTTTATACAGATGCAGTTGAAACTTTTTGCAGTCAACTGACCTACCTGCTACCTCTTTATTCTACATCTATATGTAAAGCTCTTAACTGCTACCACTGTCGTCACCAGTGTTTAGCCGAGCTTTGCCTGTGCTTTAGGAATGTGAGAGGTAGGCCCTTCCTGAAGCCCAAAGCTTGCTTGAGCACAGGGCAAATGGCATTGCTTCAAGGAACATACGAAGCTTCTCTGCAGGGATTGAAAATACTTGTGCTTCTGTTCTGTGCTACCTTAGCGAGTGAAAAATTAACCCCTGGGATTTATACTCATTTCTCCCCACATGGGCTGGAGCAGTGGCTGTGACAGATGTTCTGCACTGGCCTGAGGAGGAGCTTGTTGAAGTAATTAGTTGGTGGGTGTGACTAGCCGGTGACAGATGCGATGTCTGAAAGCTTGGAGAAACATGTCTTCCTTTTCCTTTGTAGGGTGAGGATGGAAGGGTCCAGGTAGGTCCCTGGAACGGATAAAGACAGAAAGATGGAGTTATTTAACTGACTAAATGAATATAACAGCTATTTTTTCTACTCAATAATCCTTGAATAATCATTTTCTGTTATGTCTTCCCAGACTGAGTGCTGTAATTGGATTCAAGTGTGCTGACTTCTCCTTTCAGAGATCAAAGGCACCCCCATCTCCTTTCTGGATTTAGAAGACCTGAGAAACCTCTTTGGATCAGAGGTATATATAGACTGCATTTGCTGTTCTAGGTTGAACCAGTCTGAACGAATCATAGAATTATTAAGGTTGGAAAAGACCTGTAAGATCGAGTCCAACTGTCAACCCAACACCACCATGCCCACTAAACCATGTCCCTAAGCTCTTTAAAATCCTCCCAGGGAGGGGGACTCAACCCCTCCCCGGGCCAGCCTGTTCCAATGTTTAGCCACTCTTTCAGTAAAGAAATTTTTCCTTGTGGCCAACCTAAACCTCCCCTGGCGCAACTTGAGGCCATTTCCTCTTGTCCTATCACTTGTTACTTGGGAGAAGAGACTGACACCCACCTCGCTACAACCTCCTTTCAGGTAGTTGTAGAGAGTGATGAGGTCTCCCCTCAGCCTCCTTTTCTCCAGGCTAAACAACCCCAGCTCCCTCAGCTGCTCCTCACAAGACTTGTTCTCCAGACCCCTCACCAGCTTCATTGCCCTTCTCTGGACACACTCCAGCACCTCGACGTCCTTCTTGTAGTGAGGGGCCCAAAACTGAACACAGTATTCGAGGTGTGGCCTTACCAGTGCCGAGTACAGGGGCACGATCACTTCCCTGCTCCTGCTGGCCACACTATTTTTGACACAGGCCAGGATGCCGTTGGCCTTCTTGGCCGCCTGGGCACACTGCTGGCTCATAGTCAGCTGGCTGTTGACCAACACCCCCAGGTCCTTTTCTGACATGGAGCTTTCCAGCCACTCTTCCCCAAGCCTGTAGCGCTGCATGGGGTTGTTGTGGCCGAAGTGCAGGACCCGGCACTTGGCCTTGTTGAATCCCATACAGTTGGCCTCGGCCCATCGATCCAGCCTGTCCAGGTCCCTCTGCAGAGCCTTCCTACCCTCGAGCAGATCAACATTGCCGCCCAACTTGGTGTCGTCTGCAAACTTACTGAGGGTGCACTCAATCCCCTCATCCAGATCATTGATAAAGATATTGGACAACTTTATAAAGATATTGAACAAAAGGTGAATGAAGATCTGTTTCAAAACTTTTCCTTAAGGAAGTGGCTACAGTTCAGTTTGTGGGAAGGTTTAGCATGGGGACCTGCACACACTCAAAGAGGCAGCTAGAACTATGAGGTGTTATGACTGTAAACTGGTTAAAAATCACAGTGCTTCTTGGGAAGGCAGGTCTGAGGCAAAACCAGAGCTTCAATGGAGCTAGGAGATTTTACCCCACTGGTGGACCAGTTCCCCATGGTGCATTATAGCTTTTGCTTCACCATTGGAGTGGACTTTGGCTGGAATGCTGGTGGTTGCCTTGCCCAGGAGATCAGGCTGAACTTCGTTTAGTTCCTTATGTGGCTAGATGGATGTCTGACACTGCCTGTGACAATTAGATCATGTTTTGTAGATGGCTGGCCTGGCATTGGCCTAATTTCATACAAAACAGGCTAAATTCAGATGATGAGGAAATGGATTTAGGTTTATTGTCTTGAACAACTTGTTTGTGTCAGTTCTGAACTCAATCTCCAAGCAAAGTGATGTTGTTCATGACTTTGTGTACAGCCAGTGCTGTAGCTCGCGTGCTGCCTCTCTTTTTCTCTGTGCCATGGCCTATACAAAGCAGGTATGCCACAGTGGGTCCTGCTTATGTAATGTTCAGTAATTAGCACATTCATTTGTGATTTGAAATATATTCACACTCAGGACCTCCTAGGTGGCTGCAGTCCAAGTCTACATATGTGCAAGAGAAAGTCAAAGACCAGTTAGCTTTGCCTAGGTTATTTGGATGGACAAAGGGAGTGTGCTACTAACCCAATCCTTACGGTGCCTTACAGGAATTGCAGTTGAAGCTTAAGCTTGAGGATGCTATCATTTCTTCAACTCAGGAAGAGCTTGAAGCTGAAGATGCCAACAGCAGTAGGAAACCCGTACCAAAGGAAGAAACATTAGAAGTAAAGGAGGAAATTGCTATTATGTAGGTGACTGTAGTAGCTGCAATATGCTACTTTCCAGCAGGGCCTTTTTATTTATTGCTTGGTGTATGCAACGTGAAATGTTGTTTTACGGCTGCCTTGAATGCCGCTAGGCTAGTGATATCTCCTATTTCTTGTTCTTTTTCTCTCTCAGCAGCAGCCAGGTGCTGGTATGGAGTACCTGACTGAGGACAATGAAGCTACTGCAGACATGATCAGATATGTAGGACATGACTCCAACACCTACCTGAAGGCTTTGAAGTCAGACATCATTTCGGTTACAGGGGTAGGAGTCTCCACTGCACCAATGGTTTTAGCCTGCTGGCAGAGATTTGGAGCTGGGTTTTAACTGTCTACTCAGACTCTGTTACGAGACCACCTTTAACATTTGTCAGACCTGCTGGGGCAGTGCAAGGTGCTGGCGTTCTCTCCAATTCCTCTCTCCTTGCAATTTTAAATAATCATTAGCACAGTTACCACAGCTGCAACTTGTTCTCCTGACCCATGTATTACTGCCATGGCTCTGGGACTTTTGTGGAAACAGTAAAGCGTGATGTGTGTAGTCTGAACCAGGACTATCTGCAGAGACTGGGATGGTGAAATGGTTTGATGCTGAGCACACGGGAGGAGTTGAAGAGGGTTCAGAAATTCAGGGAGATCCCACAACAATAGGGAAGCAAGAAGTTCAGGTTGTTTTGGCCTCCTAAGTCCTTGTTTTCTCCACTTGCCTTTGGGATGGTGCTCTTTGGTAAAGTTGCTCTTCAGAAGTCATAGGACCTGCCTTTTGCAGTCATTCTCTGGCCAGTCAGTCATCCAGAGGAGCCCAGAGGTACAGGAATTGTGGATCTTTAGAAAATTGTCACTGGATGGTCCCACTCCTTAAGCGTGCTGCCTTGCTGAGTGTGCCTTGCCCTTCATGCTTTAGAGGTGGGCAGCTAGTTCAGAGTGACAGTGGGAGACGCAGGAGTGTTTCTTTATGGACTTTGATTTGTTTTACAGAAATGGATCCCTGGAAATCACAATTACCTTCCAAAGCTCAGAGTAGGAGCCTTTCAACAGTTACTTTTACAGAAAAACCCTGGTTGTCTTCTTCAGATGAAGAAAACTGACTTATGCCTTTTGGACTCTGTGAGGAGCTGCCTCTTTCTGTTCTCTGAACATTGTTTTGTTGTTTTTTTCACTCCTGGTCAGGCTACAGCCATCTCTAACCTCTGTAACCCAGTGAATGCACCAGCAACCCAAGACTATGAGCCAGCGAGAGTTTCACGTCTGAGTCAGAAAAGCATTTTAGTCCATTTTTAATGCCAAGATCAGTTCAGTGCCTGAACTAGCCTCTGGTTTTACGTGTTTTGCTGATACAGAGCTCTTGTCTCTGTTGTGACTGTGCACTGAGACACCAGCACCAAACCAAGCATGTGCCGTAGATGAAATAAGGCATTGTTGGTTTCACATTCACTTATAGAAGGATTTACTCTTCCCAACCAGAGGGAGATGACTGCCACCAAGTCATCGACTCCCTTTTCTCAGAAAGAGTTTGAAACCGGGGCAATGCTGGAACATCTGCAAGTGCAGCTCCTGTGAGTACTGGTCTTGTGCTGGAGGCATGCGTGGGGCAGGGTTTCATCCCAGGCAAGTGCCTGTTCTGCTCTCTAATAAGGTTCTGCTTCGTCCAATATCTGTTGGCTTAATTTTGGGTTTCCTTCTATTCTGATTGCCTTGGGCCATTGACTCTGGTTTATGTTAGCTGAAGACATGACTCCTGTCAGCTGTCCTTCATCTGTGTGCAGATTTTCTGTTTTGTGTGCTCATGAGGTACATTGCAGAGTTACTCATGATTGTTTTCTGCAAGACTTCTTAATACTTCAGGTCCTGTTAGCACTTGCGGGGTGCTATGTGAATGCAGCTGAGTGCTTCCAGGGCCTGCTAGTGCCCAGGAGCTTGGTAGGTACAGCCATGCAATGTTGTGCCTAGGTGTGGGGAACAAAATGACGGGACACCCAAGTGGCTCTGTGCAGAATCACATCAAGGTTTGTGTTTGGTAATGTCTTCTTCCATGCCAAGCAGGCTTGGGCACTCTGAATTACATTCCTTCATACTTCTTGTTTTGTCTGTGAGCTTGTGTTATCCAGAGTAACTCCATCTCATTAGCCTTGCTAATAGAATTGACTGTGCTCTGTATTTATCCTTGCACAATGAAGATCAGCATCTCACCCTTTGCTAGCAAACACTGAGTTTTAAAATTAATTCAATTTGCAGGGTTTACAGAGATGTGCCATGAAGTCCTTTACAGATCTTTTAACAATGCCCTTCTCTGAAACCATAAATGTGTTTTATAGAGTCCATCAATCCTACTGAACGCTTCAGCTTTCTAAATCTTTCTTTTAGGTATCCTGCCAGCAGCTGCTTAGATTTCAGGTTTCAGCATTATCTTTGCTTCTGTGTTTCAGAGAAACAGAGATCCGTGCTCAGAAGAGCGTGCAGAGGAGAGATCTGAAGGTCTTGAAGAGAAGCTGGAACAATCTCTGCAGAGAATCAAAGAGCTAGAGAGTGAGCTGGAGAAAGACGGGAATGTCATCCCAGAAGCAACACACAAAGAAGGGCGAGGTCAGGACAATCAATATTCTGAACCCTCTCCCAGACTCAGAGAGGAAAGCAATCTTTGAGGACACCTCATTCATCTCCTGTTTAGTGCAGGACCTTCTCCTCCTGGGCACATCCTAGGGCTTTGTCTAGACTCTTTGTCAGAGGCCAAGCAATGAGGCTTTTAACATGATTCTAGATCAGGGCAGAAAGAACTGCTGAATGTGGTCTGTTTTTGAGAGAAAGTAATTTTGTTTGATTTTGACATATGACACAGGGTCTATATCTAGGCGATCACTGCAATTGACTTCATCTTCCTTGTAACTGAGTGTTCCCTGTTACAGTCAAGAAGATCTGTTTAGGATCACTGATTTTGGGGTAGAAAAGAAATAATGTTCCAGGTCCCTTCACTCTCAGAGGCTACAGACCTTTGGGTTTATAGCACAGGACACTTGCTGTTTCCAGGAGTTATTTGAACACTGCTGATGTACTGATCTTGCCCATATGGTGTGGCAGTGAGTTCCTTAGGTTGCATGTTTGTTGTGGATGAAGGATTTCCTTGTGTCCTTTCTCAACTGGATCCACACAGATATAAGATGTGGAGAAGGTGAAAGAATGGGAATTAAAACTCCTTCCCTTAGTCCTTCAGTGTATCCTGTCTCTTTGACATCAAAGCGGGAGGAGAGGCTAATTTGTTTGTTAAGGATGTGATACCTTGGGCACATTTTAACTCCATGGCTTTGGTTTGTTGTTTTGTTTTTCTTTCAGAAAAATGTTTCCAAGAAAGTGTCTCAGAAGTCAGGGCCTGCTCAAGTCCCAGAGCTTCTACCTCTGGCCAGTCCAAGGGATCCAGAAAGGGCAAACATTAAAGAACAGCAATGCCTGAGTAGTTTCTTAATGCCCATTCATAGTAGCGTTTCACCCCCAATCCACTGCTGTTACTCCTTACTACTACCCCAACATCTCTTGTGTCGTCTCAGCATTTATGCTGTTCTTCTAGCTGGCTCTACCACTTCCACATCTGTCTTGTCCTCTACGTCCTCACACAGCTCTAATATCTTTACAGCTTGTCTTCCTTGTAATACCATTGCTACCTCGACTTTCTCCTACACATATCTCTCCTGCCTGCATGCTCTCTTCTCTTTCTCTTGGCCTGTGCTTGCATCCTGTTGGTGTTTATCAGTCTCCTCTTGTTGCTCTGTCTCATTCAGCCTCATCCCTGTTGGATCATGCAAGTAAGTTGTTCGCACCTCTTTCCTCTCATCAAGGGTTTTTTTTCTCAGTGCCAGCATGGGTAGCTCCTTCATCCTCTGGGCTTCAGATGAGCCAGTTACCAGCTGAGTGGTTAGGAAGAAATTGTACGGAAATTGTATGGACAAATTTTTGTTCATCTTTGAATCTTCTTCTTTTGAAGGTTTTGTCCTTCTTTCAGAAAGTATGAAGCAGCCTGAAGCTGTGCATGATCCTGAAGGCCTTTCTCAAGTTGCTGCCACAGGAAAGTTGCCTGCAACCAAGGTCACAATATCAGACCTCAGATGATGCCAGTTCACCCTCTCGGTGCACTGGGATGGCATTTGAAACACATGCTCCATCTCCCTGTGATTTCTATGTTTGGCGCCCTGGCTCCCTATCTGCAGTAACCAGTAACCCCTACAGTCTCAACAGTGAGGTGGCCACCCGAGACTTCTGCCTCTGTCGGATCCCCAACCCAGGGCAGTCTGTGTAGTTATAAAGCTCTGCAGGCCAGCAGACCTGCCTGGGCTTGGTGTGCCTCTGCAGTTTGATCCACACTCAGCTCAGAAGAGCAGGCATGAAACTGTCAGGAATCACAGCAGCTCTGACAGCCCTTGCCAATTCCCGCAGAGTAAACACTATTTTGGAAACATCATATATCACTAATCCTGAAGTACATTTTTAAATTGTTTTCCTTCTGCAAGGTTTTTGAATGTAATATCTCCTGAAGGTAAAATGATGAGTTTCTGCCAGCTCTGTATATGTAAAAGACAGAAGATCCTGCTGGAGCAAGGCGTGTTCTTTGGAACTGAGGATGCTCTTAGCTACCATTTGCCTTTTCTGTAACTGCAGAAAAGTTACATGTTTGAAAAAACTACACCTGACTTCTGCAGATATGAGTGCAAATAGAGTAATGTGTGTGCCCTGATGTAGTACTGCATGTCTCTTGACAGTCATTTCTCAGGCTAAGTGTTATTCCTTTGAGACATTATCTGTAGAGGTGTTGGTCCTTGATGTGCCAAGGAATCTTGGTCTGGATGGATCATTTTATAGGGAGTTAGAAACACAGCCAGAGAAGTGTTCAGAGAAAGGATCATCTGCAGCTCACTGTAGTATTATGTGCTTTTGCCTGAGGTTGGGAAACAGGGGCCTACTCCAGCAGCATGAGAAATAACCACAACCAACCTTAGAGAAGTAACTACACAGCTCATGTTCGCCAGTGGAAGATTACAGAGCTGTTCCACTTCCCAGAGCTAGTTTTCCATAAGTGGATCACTACTGAGATCTATTACAGATACACAAGCAGGAGCCACAGTCATCCTGCCGTCCTCTCCTGAGAGGGCTGCAGTGGCAGAATGATTTGGATGTGAGGTTGCACCTGGAGCTCAGATGCTCATGTGATCATTGAGAAGTTCACAGGTGGATTTTTCCCACTTCCCAGCCACTTGTAAGGGGGCTGGTTTGCTGGGTGTCCTTGCTGTAAAAAGGCTGGCAAATACTTGTGGACCGAGTATTATGGGAGCACTGAGTGCTGAGAAGTGGACTCCAGGGAGCTGAAGGGGCCGATTAAATACAGAATATGTGGTACTTAGTAGAAGTGGGATACTTGTCCTTTGCAGCAATATTAAGTCAGTACCTGCAGGCCATCCTTGTGACACAGCTGCATTTAACAGATGTATTACTGATGATACATGCCAATGTGTGCGAGTGTTACCAGCAGGCAAAGAGGGACTGAATAAAATGAGTGAAAATACAAGAGTGAGCGACTGGCTGTGTAACCCCTGCTAGGCACGTGCATGATGGCCAACTACTGTGTGGGTAATTGAGAAGGGCCACAAAGTACCCTCTATCTTGGCCTCTACAGGCCACCAGCAGCAGAACGTGTTGGCTGTGCAGGGAAGGTCTACTTTGAAGCAAGGGGAGATGCTGCAGGTCAAGTAAAAGGGCAGGAGCAGAGCTGATGTCCACCCAAAAGGCACCAGGATCAGAGAGACTGAGTGCAGTGGTATTTCCTTTGACAGTGCTCCATATCTTTGCCAAGGGAAAGGATTGCACTATCTGAAGGTTCCTGGTCATTTCAAATAGCTTTTGGCAGGAAAGATATATAAGAGTTTTGAGGATTATAGGAGTTTTGAGGACTTTCTCTGTTCCTTTCCTGTGTGTAGAGGTTACCAAGGTAGCTGCAGCAGGCAGAAGTATTCCTGTTCTCGAGGCTCTCAGCTGGTTCTTCCCCAGCAGTGCTGTATTCCACCTTGTCAGCTCAGTGGGAGTTTGTTAAACGGATCACCTCTAGAATTTTTAGATGCTATCAGCTCAGACCTTGTTCTGCCTCACCCCCCAGTGGAAGCAAGCAGCAGCAGCACAGCTTGCCCTTCCTCTGCACAGCTGATGTGCCTTGCAGGGAAGTGCCAAGCCTTAAAAGCTGCCCTTTCCTCCTCTTCCTTTTCCTCCTATTTTAGAACTAGCTAAACACCTTGGTTGCCTGTGCGCGTGGGTGGTGACTGAAATCCCATACCCAGAACTATGCCATGGGACCCAGCTCGTTCCCTTGTTGCAGAACCACCAGGCTGGCAGCACCCACCAACCTGCCTGCAGTGCTGAGCCCCTTCCTGTTCCCCCACCGATTGTCAGGCTCCCACCCCTGCCTGCCCACCTGTTCTGTTTGGGGACGGGGGCATTTAAGTACATAGGGGCTAGTCTGTCCTTCCTGCCGAGGTGATGGAGCAAGATGGATCAGACCCCAGGGGCCAGGACCTAGGGTGTCAAGGTGCATCTGGCCCTGTGAAGGGGATGGGACGACTCCCCTCTTCCCTCAACCCCCTGCTCACACACATGACAGCCCTGCTCCTTGTGCTCCGTATTTTTCCCTTTCCAAAACAAGCAGAGGCACCTTCCATGTACAATCCACTTTATATTGCAGGCCTGGGCTGCCTTCCCTCCTGCCTCCAGACCAGGACCCGCTGGTGGACTGCCAATAGGCCAGCCTTCTTGCTCTTCTCTGAGCAGGATTGACCAGGGGCAGCGTAGCAACCATTTCTGGGACAGCTCTTAGAGCATGGGTGAGTCCTTCTTGTCTTTCGGGCTTCCTGGGAGCTTTGTAGTGTCTGTGAGGAGGCTGCTCACTGCCGGAGGACTGTGGGTAGCTGGAGAGACCAGGTTCATGGCATCCAAAGGCAAGGGCAAGATGAAAGCAGCAGGTTTCTCTGCAGTAAGGGAGTGCAGTGCATGGAGGTAACGGAGCTGAGCAGCAGCAGGGGCACTGGACAGGATCTCAGCTGCCATCCGCAGGGACTCGGAAGCAGCCTTTTCCCCCTCAGCAGCGATCACCTACCAAGCAGGGGAATAAAGAAGGTTTCTGTGAGGCTGGGAGTAAGGGGGCATGGACTGTTCATCACAGAGGGAGGCTGCCACCATGAAATTCCCAGGGTCAGCGTGGTAATAACACTCCTGCTCTCTGAAGATTACAGCATGTACTAAACCTCTTGATGGTCCCAAAAGCTTGGGAACTCATGTCTAACTTGTTTTTACTAGGCCCATCAGGGCTCACAATTGGGCATATCCTTGCTGCAAAAGCATGGGAGAGGGCAGCCCCCAGGCTAGGCTTGTGGGAGGGGTGCTAGACACCAACCTTATCCAGGCTTTTGAGCAGCTCAGTGCAAGGGATGGAGACCAGCCTGGGCTGAGCAAGGTGCACGGTACATGACAGTGGTGACAGCCCTGCACTGGGCTCCTAGGGGAGAGTGAAACCCTGAGGAGGAAGAGATCCCCATGGGGGGGAATCACTGTGGGCCCGGGGATAATCCCAGACTACTTTGTGTGTCTTTCTGTCCTATCTGTAGGCCAGGTACCAGATCTGGCACTCCACTGGGCTGGCCCAGACTCTTGCTGCAGCTCCCCTTGCTAGACACAGCTCTTGAACAGGAATTAAAGGAGACATATCTTCCCAGAGCTGTACCCTAGCGTGGCATGTCTCAGGAACGTCAAACCAGGGGTGGGAAAGGAAAGAGGGATGCTTTGGAAGGAGATGGGAGATGGACGGAGATGGGTTGGCATACCCGCACTTTGGCCTGTCTCTGGGCCTCCGCTTCCACAGCCAGGGACTGCCGGACTTCAGCAGGCAACTGCACGTTGTTGCTGTGGTAGTAAGGGATAGGGATTAGCTGGGCTCTAGGCTCTCCTGGAAGTACTGGATGGTCAATCTGAGGCTTGGAATGGGCTTATCAGTCAGTCTCTGCAGAGCTGTTCATTCACGTTCTTTGCTCCCTGGGTGTCCTTCTTTGTGTGTCTCACTTTAGCCTTCTACCTCCATTCCCATCCTTCTTTTCCAGCCTGGTTTTCTAATGACCAGGCTTGTATGATCACTAGGCAGGCGACAGACCTCTTCTCTCTGTGCCTCTGAGACATCAGAGAATCCACTGGGAGACTGCTCTCAAGACAGGCACAGCAATTTTTTCTGTTCATAGATTTACTCATTCACTGCTTGGCACTCTCCTCCATGGCCCTCTACATGATGAGCATATCCCACATTTCTGCATGGGCTTCTGAGTGACGAGCCCATCTCAGCCAGTGCTTTGATCTAGAGTGGGGCACAGAGGGTTCGGTGCCTGCTGTGCCTCTTAGGCTGCCAGAATTGGGT